CACACACACACACACACACACACACACACACACACACACACACATGCACACACACACACACACACACACACACACACACACATTCCTTGTTTTTTATTTGTTTTGTCTCTACTGAATATGTTACCACTTTGCTCAGTGTGTCTTCTTGTTTTCCTTTTCTTTGCTCTGAAGTTCAATGTCCCACTTTGAGATGGGCCCCCTAAAGTCATGTACTGATTTATCTAGATATTATCTGGATTCGAGCTCGAGTCTGTATTTCGACAGTTCATGGGTGTACCAAATGAGCTCAGCCGGTTGGTAGCATTGAAGCAGATTATTGACTCAGCAGAGTCAGCACCAATAGGGGATTCTGCAGACATTTGAGGTCTCCTGCTGAGTGACAGAGACTCTGATGAAACAGGTTGTCGCTACCCTTTTGGTCTTTCTCTGTGTCTTTCCTTGGTCTGTGAACCTGGCGATGATGAGCTTCGGCACCCACCCACCACCTGTGCGTATCGGCTCTAAGCGTATGAACCAATGGAGTCCTCTCTTATTCTTAAGCACCAGTACATGGGCACCTGGGCCGCGGGTCTGACACCTCAAATTCTGGAAGCACGAAACGAAAACGCGACCACCGATCCAATTTATCAACGGCGGGCGAGCCCAGCGTTTGATGCTTGAGCCTCGTTTTCTTGTGGCGACAAGTTTCGGACTGCAAGGCTGGGTCCGTGTACTAGTGGTTTAAACCACTTTCTTGCCCACCCACCCACCGTCTGTGCATTTCCTCTTTCGGTGTATGGACCCTGTGATGATGAGCTTGGGCACCCCACCCACCCACCGTCTGTGCTAATGGGCTCTCAGCATATGAACCCTGTGTCGATGAGCTACAGTCAGAACCAACGGAGTCCTCTCTTATCCTTAAACCACCAGCACCTTTGAGCGCATCTTTTTCCAAAGGCAGATTCGTGCTGCGCATCCGGAACAACACGAAGTGACACAGCCCTTCTGTTTTTCCTTTCTGGATGGCGCTGTGAGGTTAAGCGGTCAAGCACATTAACCACACACATTCGCCTCCATTGCCCATGAAAGGTTGTGGTGGTTAGGGAGCAATTGGCCGATTGTGACCAGTGTAGTGGCCTTGCCATGCGCAAGGGTCATAGTATCGGCAATGTTCCGATGCTAGGACTCTGAGAGGGTTTGTTTCTTACCACACACAGCCTGTAACCCTTATGAGCAGACTCTGAGAGGGTTTGTTTTTGGACCATTTCTCTCTTTATGTGTGTCATCATTGTGCAGTTAAGGATGAGATGACTTTCCTCTACTCCCCACGAAAAGATCGGAGGCATCTGATGGCGGCCTCCAACCGGGGGGGTGCTCTTATGACCCTCTCGGTAGTTGGCTACGTAGCAACGTATGTTTTTCTTCGGGCGGCCTCCAACCGGGGGGGTGCTCTTATGACCCTCTCGGTAGTTGGCTACGTAGCAACGTATGTTTTTCTTCGGGGAAAAAAAAGAAGAAAAGACATCAGGAACCAAATTAAGCAGTTTTGCAACAATTGGCTTGGGGGGGGGGGGGGACCAAGGGGGCTCGATGGGCAGGGTACACTTGTATGGGGGACAGGGGTATGAGCACCAGAGCCCTGCTCACCCGGGACTATAAGCTCCTCTTCCACGAATGGACGGTCATCGACGGGGCGGTCCAGTTGCATCCTACGTAGGATTTTAGGTACCCCTTCCCCCAACACCCTGTCTCCCTAGTGGACCTTGGCTGGTATGGGGAATAAAAGTCCTTGGGCAATATTGGACACCTGTTGGCCCCCATTCAGGGCTGAAGACGCAACCTTTTGTACCCGGTCTGAACTTTCTGCTGTACTTCTTGCGAGGCTACTAGGTGCTTTCTGAAACTCTGGATCTGTCTAGCCGAAGCCGGGGAATGGCCCCGGTAATACGAGTTGTTCTGATTTTCATACGGGCCCAGTGCTGGGCCCGGTTCCCAGCATGTGCTGCTCCCCTCTTCTTTTTTTTTTAAAACACAAACCCGGAGATATCTCGACGTGCTGATAGGAGCAGGCGCCTCTAGCTATTCTTGGGGAGGCTCTATCTATTAGTGGGGAGCTGCACCTGCTGGGAAACAGGCCCAGCATCCCCTCTTACAAACTGGAGAATTAATATGCGGGGTTCAAATGGAGCGTGATGCTCCCCACGAACAGATCGGAGCAAGTTCATCCCGCCCCCTCCACGCCCCGCCCTTGTGCAGGGGCTATATATATATATGGTGAACTTCGGTGGAGGATACCACTTGAGGAGGTGGTACGAACGCCCTTCGGAAGCGGCACTCTGTGTGAAGGCTCCATCTATTGGCGGGGGCTGCACCTGCAGGAGATCAGGTCCAGCGTCCCAGATGATACATATGTTCCACTGCTAATCTTCTCTGTATCGTTCCAATTTTAATGGATGTCCCGAAGCACAAGTTTGTGGAGCTTGTGCTCTGATCAGGGGCGTTCCCCCCCCCTCCCTCCCCCCCCTTTCCTGAAGCACACGATCATCATGGGACAAGGGGCTTTAGGCATCAAAGCTTGTGGTGCCACATGAGGGTTTCGAATTCCAATCCGTGCTGGAGGTCTGTGCTGCTCTCAGCTCTTGTGTTGCGCCTGTGTATGGATTCGAGAAGTGTGTGCTGTGTGGTGATGCTTCTGGCAATGCCTGGATGTCCCATGTTTTTGGGGGAGGCAGGCATGCATTTTGTTTGCCTCTTTTATGGTGGTTGGGGGGATTGAGGGGTATATATATTTGTTTCTTTCATTTGATGGGTTATCAACTTCCGTTAGTTAGAGGCTTGCATGCCATCATTTGCCATCGAACTGCCCCTCAGAATGTGGAGGTGCGCGCTAATTCGATATTGGCAGTGCAGGTGCACATCATGCAGAGCCATGCAGTCCATGCTTTTGGGGGAGGCAGGCATGCTTTTTGTTTGCCTCCTTTATGGTGGTTGGGGGGGTGAGGAGTATATACTATATAAATCTGTTTCTTTCATTTGATGGATTATCAACTTCTGTTAGTTAGACGCTTGCATGCCATCACTTCCCGACGAGCTGCCCCTCTTTTTTTTTTTTTTTTTTTTTTTTTTTTTTCTTGGTTCTTCCCTTTTTTTTTTTTTTTTTTTTTTTTTTTTTTTTTTTTGTCAAGGTGCTGCACCCTCAATGTGGAGGTGCTCGCTAATCCGTATTGGCACTGCAGGTGCACATCATGCAGAAGGATGTGTGGCCAAACTGCGCTCAACCACATAAACGTGCGGTACATTGAACTACCGTGGTGTGCTATTTTGTTCACCCTCGCGTGGTTGAGGAAGCTCGTCTAGCTACCTCCGGGTCTCGGTCTCCTATCTTCGTCACCCTTGGAGATAATAAGACGCAGCGCTTCTTCGGTCAGACGGTCCCCAATCTCCATTTTTCCCTCACTCTCCAGCCATCGAATAGTACTCATGCGCCTCGGCGTTACCATTCCTCTGCATACTTTGACGTGTTGGAGACTGGACACGACTTTATCATTGACACTCCTGGGTCTCGCAAGTTCCGTGACAGAGAGACCGAATGGGTGACCGAAACAGTCGTTCTCAAAACGAAGTGTGATCAAACCTATAAAGTCCCCTTCATTGGAACTCCGGGCGACACCTCTCCCCACCCTACCTCCCCAGGACCCTCGTACTTTCGGGTCCCATCCGAACATTGCCTTCACCTCTCTTCGCCAGTTCGCTCACTTCCTGTATCAGGAGGACGTCACCCTCTACTCGGTAAACACCATTGATCTTCTTCAGTACAATCCCCTCTGTACAATCATTGAGCTCATCTCCTTGGAGCCCGATCCCCCTGACCCGTCTTCCATTTTCACGGCTCTCATCTCTACATCCACTGCTCAGCCTGCGAATACCCCTTCGACATCCCAGGTTCCTCGGTCGTCCACTGACAAGTCCACATATACCACTCGTGCTGACGCAAACGATGAGGAACTCGCGCGGTTCACAATTGACTTAGAACCTGCCATTTGTGACCTGATTCGAGAGTACCACGACATCTTTCCCCTGTATTTCTCATACAACGAGATCCCTCTGATGCGAGGTGTTGAGCATTCTATCCAG